TGGTTCTCTGTGCAGGTGGACAGCAAGTCCCGGAGTCCCCTCTTTGGGGACAAGGTGTGAATTCAGGGAGGCCTTGCTGTTGGCTCAGACCGGGACACTGGACAGGCCTTGCTGAGCCCATGCCCGGCTGGGGTGGCCGGCCCTGGAGTCTCCTGGAAATGGAAGAGCTTCCCGCCTACAAGGGGACGGGAGCTGACAGGAGAAGCTCCAGCAACACTGGGGGCTGCGAGGGACCCAGCCTGCAGAGGGGCAACTGAGACAAAATGTTAGAGTAGGAAGTCTCAGGATATGACCCCCTTCTATGAAAGCCTGGCTTCCTGGGAAGGTCCGTTTGTCTGGAGGAGGATGGTCCACCTCAAGGCCAGGGGGACCTCTATGATCACCTAAAAGCTGAATTAACTTAAGTCTGCCCTCCTCCTGAGAGGAGCCTCATCTGTCCCAGGACAGGTGTTCTCCAAAGAAAGACCAGCCCCCATGCCCCAAGCTTTGGTTTTGTGGCAGTGGCCTCCCAGAGGCCTTGTGGGGAGCCAACTGAGTCATGCAGCGTAGACCCCAAGCCAGAGTCAGGTTGGCCTGCTCCCCGACCTCAGCTTTGCCCGCCTTCAGCCTCACCCTGACCCTGGTTAGACACTCAGCCTTGCCAACCTGACCCGAGGGAGTAGGGAGAGGCACCACAACACTTGGAAAATAAGACCCGTGACTCAGTTTCCCCTTGCTTGGGTGGGTCTTCTCACCAAGGACTTGGTGCTCTCCCAGGCAGCCAACACTCTAAAGCAGTGGTTCTCAACCTCCCTAATGCCGCGACCTTTTAATACAGTTCCTCATGTTGTGGTGACCCCCAACCATAAAATTATTTTCGTTGCTACTTCATAACTGTAATTTTGCTACTGTTATGAATCGTAATGCAAATATCTGATATGCAGGATGTATTTTCATTGTTACAAATTGAACATAATTAAAGCATAGTGATTAATCACAAAAACAATATGTAATTATATATGTGTTTTCTGATGGTCTTAGGTGACCCCTGTGAGTCATTCGACCCCCAAAGGGGTCGCGACCCACAGGTTGAGAACCGCTGCTCTAAAGCTTCCTCCCACTGCACATCTCATCAATGGCTGCAAACCAAGTCATGGCTGCAAAGTAAAACCAAACTAGGGGTAGGATTCTTCTCTCATGCACAACAGGCGTGGCAAACTGCAGGCCTCTGGCCAAATCGGGCCTGCAGCCTGTTTTGTAAATAAAGTTTTATTGGAACACATGCGTGCACATTTGTTAAGGTATTGTCTACGGCTGTTTCCATGAGACAAAGGCAGAGTTGAGTAGCTGCAGAGAGATCAGATGGCCCCTGAAGCCTAAAGTATTGGCTGCCTGGCCCCTTTTAGAAAATCCTGCTGACTGCTGGTCTAGAAGAAGGCTCGCTTGAGCCAGGCGTGGCTGGCACACCTGAAACCCATCCCTAGCCGGAACATTTCTGCCGGCTTCTCAGTTCTGGTCACCGAGAAGGCCGGTCCAGTGAGCAAGTGATGGGACTCACCTGCTTCAGGAGCGAAGGGTTCCGAGAGCTCTCCTCGAACTTGGCCAGCAGCTGACTTGCCATGGACTTGACTTTGTTCTGATTTCCACCTTCTTTACTGACGCCGCCCTCTTGACTGGAGCCCAAACTCCGGCTGGAAAAGGCTGGCCGCTGCAAAGTCCAAATCAGTGCATTGGTGGTGGGGTCCCAGAACCCAGATATCAGGGAGGGGACCTGGGGGCTGAGGACAGGGGACTAATTTCCGGAAGAAGGAGACCCTCCATGGGCTCAGGAAGTGAGGCACAAGCAGCAGGCGATGCCCAAGGACGGGTACAGCCAGGCTTGGGAGCCCGAGAGTTAGGGTTTGCATCCTGACTCTTTCACTTCCCAGCCCAGTGACCTTGGCAATGAACGTCCCTAAAGTTTCTGCACTGTAAAATGGGAGCATACCCCACTTCACATGGTTGTCACACACACACACAAATCAAATATAATAATGAAGCGGCGAGTAAAATCATTTTCAAAATACATCCTGTGGCTCCCAAGAGGAGCTCAGCGTGTGTGTGTGTGTGTGTGTGTGTGTGTGTGTGTGAAGGGAGCAAGAAGGGTGTCCGTCAGGCACAGGCTTTGGGCATCTTCCTCCTTCCTCCTCAGCACCCACTCCCAACTCCAACCTGCCCCGCTCTCTTGATGCTACCATTTAAAAACAACGTTTAATTGTGAAATAATTTTGGATTTATGGAAAAACGACAAAGATAGCACAGACGGTTCCTGCATAGCCTTCACCCAGCTGCTCGTAATGGCAACATCGGGAGCAATCCCCATACTGTCACCATAACGAAGGAATCCACTCAGCGTGCTGCCATGAACTACAGACTCGATTTGGACTACGCCAGTATTTCCACACGCTTCCTTGTTTGGTTCCAGGATACAATCCAGGATCCTACATTGAATTAAGTCATGATTTCTCCTTAGTTCTCTCTCCTCTGTACAGTTTCTCCGTCTGTCTTTGTCTTTTACGACTTTGACAGTTTCAAAGGGGATGGGTCAGATCTGTGTGCAAAGTCCCTTAATCCGGGTGCTCTGATCTTCCTCGTGGTGAGGCTGGGTTATGGATTTTGGAGAAGGATGCCGGAGGTGAAGAGCTCCTCTCGGTGCTTTATACCAGGGTACACAATCCCAATGTGACTAATGACGGGTGAGATGCTGGCTGTGACCTTTTGATTATGCTATTTTATAAAATGGAGTTCCAACCCAACAGGCATGGCTCAGTGGTTGAGCATCAACCTATGAACCAGGAGGTCATGGTACATGACCCGGTCAGGGCACATGCCCAGGCTTTAGGCTTGGTCCCCAGTGGAGGGCTTGCAGGAGGCAGCCGATCAATGATTCTCTCTCATCATTGATGTTTCTATCTCTCCCTTTTCCTTCCTCTCTGCAATCGATAAAAATACAATTAAAATTTTTTTTGAAAAGATGACACTGTGGTTTCAGTAACGTACAGTTGCTTGTTATTCAGTCCCTGTATACTGGCCTATGAGGCTAATGCTATTTGGACTTAAGAGATTTTGGAGAAATGCCTAATGCAGTTTTTAGATTTTGTATTGTGAGGTATCTTAAAGAGTGAAGGGGAGGGGGCGTGTTAAAGCTGCATGGAGCATTGGAAGGGCCTGAGATCAAGTGTTAATTTTGAATAGGTAGTGGCTATATCAAATAGTCTTAGATTACACAAAATATAGAAATTACTTATTTTCCTTTTGTAGTTTACATGGGTGGTCTAGAGTTGCCGGGAGCCGGTCCATCCTTGCTGTTTCAAGGGACCTGGCATATATGGCATACTGTTCTTAATATGTTTGGTCAC